AGTAGCAATGTATAAAAACAGAAACCTTGTAATGAACGAACCCTAAAATTTTCGGATGAAGAAGAAGATGGGGACAACTTTAAATTATCGGTTTATGAGGAAGCATTGAAATGATGTTTGCTTCAAAGTTAAGTTTGCGTACCTGCTCTTGCGCAGATTTAGACTTAAAGAAAGTGTTAGACTATGACTTTTTTACAACAATATGTAGCGATAGGACATCTATTTAATATAGAAGATAAAGCTGTCAAAGTTCAAAAAATGAATCGGAGGTAAACGCATGGGTTTTGTTTGACTCAAAGCACTCAACACTTTTTCTAGAAACTGCCGGGGCACTGACGAGTACTATTCACTTCACAGAAAGAAGTTATGTTTGAGTTAATCGAGCTCGAGACAGTTTTATTGCTTTGGTCAGTGAGAGCAAATTAGCTGTCAGGAACAGTTAAGCGAAGGAGGCTACTGCGAGAAGTACATTATGCTTTGACATATCCATTATATTTCACCAAACAAAAGTTTCATAAAAAATTGACGCAATTATATTTGTTGGTAATGAGATTATTATCATAACTTTTGTCCAGAATAAATATACAACATATAATTACGACAAGAATAACAAATTGTGAATTTTTGAAAATTTCTAGCTGTGAGAAAAACAAGGAGACCAACAATAATTTGTGTTTCATACATTTGCAGCTCTTATAAAGATAGATGCCTTCGTGTAGAGGGGTCTTTCCACAAGTGATCTTATCTGTATTTTGAGAATATGTTCTGAAAGGTCAGTAAATTACAAATGGTTGAAAAGTAAGCAAGGAGAAATACTTCCAAACAGGCTCAATCAATAACTCTTCAGCACACGCACGTGGCTTGGGATCAACTAGATTTCAAGTAGGATATGTTTCTATCTATAAATACAAATCCAAAGGGAATGGGGAGAAAGGAAGCAGAAAAAGTAGTAACGCCGGAATTTCTGGACTGCAGGCACTGATTAGCGGAAAGGAAGTCTGAGTATTAAAGCTGTTGTTGAGCCAATAATTTAGATGACCTCTTTCGCAGTAACATGTGCATTATGTTAACGCTGTCAATTTCTTTCAATACTATTGATTGCTTGCCATAAATCTTAATTTCGCTCATTTACTTCTTTAGTAAGAGTAATAAGAGCGATGACAGCAGACCTTCAAAAGCGTTGCTAAATGACAGCTTCATTCAACAAGTTTATCTTATTTCCTCCGCCGATGAAGCACCTCAATCAGATGCCCAAAATTGCAAAATAAACGAAAACAAGCAGAATAAGCAGGTCGCAAAACTGGGGATTTGTAAAAAAAAATCATCATACGAGCATGTAACTTGAAACGTTTTTACTTGGCGTACGGTAACAATTTGCCTATTGATTTGCTTAATTTATCTTTCTCACACACTCGTAGCATTTTTTATAACAAAGATAACATTTAATGTTTGCATGTTTGCATGATTATTTTCTAAGAGCTCCTAAAAATGCTCAACCAAAAACAAGCTTCAAAAAGGAAAAAAGGAAAATAGTCACACTTGCTATATAGTGTAGCAATCCTCGAAGTGCAGAATTGTACAACAGAAAAGATATTCAGTACCACTGGCAAGGGGGTTTTTAGAAGCTCAGTTTGACATTACTTTGGTTGAAAATACCTCAAGAAATTTGTAGACAAGCTATTCGCACCGCTTCCAACTACTTCGACATATTCATCCTGTTTTTGTTGGGGTTACCGCACAAATTCGTGTGGTTTTTTGCAGCCCGAAAAAATCCTAAAAAAGTTAAAAGTTGTGGTATATGGTTATCACAATCTTGTTCTACAAGATATTACTCGATAAGCAGGCATAATTTAGTCTTTCTCCAGACAACTGCCATTATTGGAAGATCGTTAAGAATATTATATCCGGTCTGCACAGTATCAATTGGCGTAGAGTTATGGCACTCAGACGATAGATGAGTTAATCACAAGTTTGGCTCAAAAGTAACCTAATGAGGTTATACGACATACAATCATCATTATATTATCTGAAATCATACTGGACTTGATCAGCAGCCTCACCTTCTTATAAAGCAGAAGTCGTTCTTTCTAATAATATGAAAATTATTGTCAAACCGATTTTCTAGAAACTTGATGAGCTTATAAACCGAACAAATTAAACAACCCAAT